TTAGTCTTCTCCCCCCCCCCCCCACTTTATCCAATGATTTTTCGCTTTAAAATCTTCATTTTTTTTTTCTTCTCACTCTTTTCCTCCCTTCTTTCTCCGTAATAAAAAAAAGGGAGCAGCCCTACTCCTGATTTACTTTGAATTACACTACTGTACGTCGCGACGCTTCTCCTTATCAAACCTTTCTCCGTCGAGACGTCGACGGATCTTCCCCCTCCCCCTTCCTTATACTCGACGTTAAAATCTTTCTTTTGTCCTTTGAAACATCCCTTTCATCTCCTTCCTTCTGAATTAAAGATTTCCGACGCGTCTCCCTTCGCCCACGTATTGACAGTCTCTACCCTATTGCCATTTAAATCTGCGTTTCTGAAAGCCACTATACCTTTTTTTTTATCTTTCCCCTCTTTTTTATCGATATTCCAAATTTTCACTGGATCACACCAGTTACTCGATAACCATTGCCCACCACTGGGAAACGTCAGATCCATGAAAACCGATACTCCACGCTTTATCATGCAGATATGCCTATTATCAATTTTCAAATAAAACTTCCCGGTAGTGTACAAATATACACAGTTACGTATGCTCGTGGGATAAAATTTTTTTTATCAATACCAATATTTATTTCTTCTTATCCAACAAGACGCTGACACTTTATTCTCAATATTTCCTTTACTACATTTTTTTCCCTTTGACCCCTTCCCCCACCCACAAGGGTTCATGGTATTTCTTGAATCCGTGATAAAAAATTCTAACAATATATACGTCCGCTCGACAAAGCTTTTACCTGCCGGACCCCAGTTACACATATATGTATATATATACACGTATAAAAGTAACATATAGCTAGATGGATAAAACTTTTCAGAAAATCACGATCCGCTGTTTCCACGAATACGACACTCCGGGGAATATTTTGTGGGTGACATAAATCAGCTCGTATATGTAAATTATATGAATATGTATATATATATATATATATGTTCCTCTAACTTGTAAATTACATATATGCGCTGTTTCCACGAATACGACACTCCGGGGAATATTTTGTGGGTGACATAAATCAGCTCGTATATGTAAATTATATGAATATGTATATATATATATATATGTTCCTCTAACTTGTAAATTACATATATGCATGTATACATATAATTTTGTCATATTAGTTCAGTTAGGAACCGCAATGTCGCTTAAAGCACATGTGCCACCCTTATTTAACACTCTGTAATATTGGCTGACCCACAATGGGCGTTTTACGATTTAAAAAAAATTTGCCCGCACCTGTCGGCCGTGTCGATTGATTATTGGCAATTCAGAACGTTCCTTATAAAATAGTCTATTACGGCATATACATATAGATATTTCAAATATTCAAAGTTAACGAACGTAACGACCGAGTCGTTTATTACGTCACGGGGCGTCGCGATATTAAAAATCCAGTCTGATGTGAAATACGATCACACCGGTGACGATAAACTCGCGTTATTTCCACTTGGAGAATTTTTCCACGCGTTATTGCCAATTGCTCTTTTCGCGTTTCTAGTGTATATTATTACGTATAGCTATACAGGGACTCGAGTAGGCAGATAACAGGGAACGAAAGGAAATTAGAGAAAGAAAATATCTAACCCGTATATCTCCGATAGCGCACTCGTCACTGGAATGTCTTCGTTAAGACGTTTTATGGACGTAATGAAAAATCGCGTATCGAAATGCCATCTCTTTGCCGTGGCGCTGCGATCGCGCGTTTGCAAACCAGCCTCATATTCCAGTATGGGAATCGATCGGAATATACGAATTTGTTAACACGTTCCACCATCTTTCAATGTCCGTAGAGACTGAAGCGTTAGCCAAGGTATAATTAAACCCAACAAATATTAACATGAAGATGGTATGGGATTAAATATATTGCCAATATGAAGAGGAATATATATGTATATGGTTATTAGCAAATATTGATACCAAGTTGAGGTTAAAATATCCAGGTATAAATTCTGTACGAATTTTCTCAATCGATCATTGGTCACCCGTATGGATTTTTCCACTTTTCCACAATGTAGAACCTAATCCTTTTTACATCCCCTGTACCGATTTCAAACCCTTCCAGTACCCTTTTACGACCCCCTTGATATATATCTGCTTATTCCGTATCTCCGGTATCACCTATGGGCAAGCGAGCATGTAGCTCGAAAAGCGGTCGGCAACACAAAACCGTCGGAAATGTCCATTTGAAAGCCGTCAAAGCGTAGGCGGCCATTTAAACCAGCTGTCATATGTGGGGTAGATATGAGTACATCTATACCGTAGTATTTACAAATTGGTCAGGTGGTATTTAAAATCAATTTTTTTTCGGGGGGGTGGGGGGTTATGTATACTTTTTTTCCAAATTCTTAGTATTTTTATTGGTTTGGTTTATTGCCAAATTCTGTCACGCGTGACAGGAAGTTGTCATTGATAATAATAATGGCGAGCTAGAGGGATGCTAGTAGTAGAGGACCGTGTAGGGTCAGCCGTGGGTATGTACATGTATACAGTGATATATGCCTATGCATTCGGTAGTCTTAGCTGGCTCGGCGCCATATTAGAATCGTGCTCGTTACCTTGCCAGTTGCGTATTGCGTATTCCGGTTTGGCGATACAAAATTGGCAAACATAAATTCCCAAGGAATTGTCTTATTGAAGCTGTGCAATTTATCCACGCGGCTGTGAACGTATACGAGGACGTGTGTAACTTGTCCGTATGTGAACTCTTAACGTTACTCGACAATACCGAGAAGATTTGTCGGATTATTTTGGATTTGTTCGGGAAAGCCGCAAAGCCCCGTTCACGGGACGCCCGTCACGTTTGTGCAATTGCGTCGATGCAATTTTATCTGACGCCCGCGGCCGCCGCGACGTGCATATCGATATTCCACGTGTATTCATATGTCAATGGCCAATCCGCAATATCGGATGCTACTGACGCGCTACGAGTTTCTTTTGAAATTTCTTTTATCTGCAGGTGAATGAAAGTTGAGAAAAAGTATTTACGACTTTTGCCCAAACTCGATGGCTAATTGGGAAATTTATGTTTGATAAAAACAATTAAATTTTGAATTTGGGCAATCTGATATTTTTTTGATAACGCTCTTTCGTATCGTATTCTAAACACATAAAAAGGTCCTTGGATCGTCGTTATGAATGAGCCGTGTGAAAGGGTTAGTAGGCGAGTGTTGGAAAAAATTTGAAAAAAAAAAAGGAATATGCTTCAGCGTTGGAACATAAAAAACTGGCATCCGTTAGGTGCATGCATGTGCGACTGGGGGAGGAGGAAGAAAAAAAATAGAAAAATAAAAAGAGCGAAAAAAAATGGGAACCGAATAGAACAAGAGCGTGTGCGAAAGAGAGAGAGAGACAGAGAGAGAGAGAGAGAGAGAGAGAGAGAGAGAGAGAGAGAAAGGAGAGAGGACGACCATGAGAAAAAGAGCAGGAGATTTTTCCATTAGGAAAATTTGCATACTAATAGAAAGCTCGCGGCGAGGGAATTCGAAAATGTAATTCTCCATCGATGCCAGTGCGCCCACGTGTGTGCGCATGCGCGAATCCTCACCTATATACGTAGCGGCATATTCCTTTATCAGCTACGTTATATGTCTTTTTTTTTTCTTTTTTTTTTTCATTTCTTTTTTCAACGTCCATCGCTTCTGCTTTCAGATGAAAAGTACCACATGCTGCCCACCGGTGAGCTTTTAGTTTTCGCCGTATCTTCGGCCGACGCACATTCCAGCTACCGTTGCAGAACCGTCCACCACGTCACCGGCGACACCGTCGAAAGTAGCAATTACGCACATTTAATACTCACCGGTAAGTAAATCGCGTTGCGAATTTTTGGAAAAAAATTTTTTTTCACTACTACCTTATATTATTTCGCTTGCATGTATTTTTCTATGGTTAACGTAGATAATGATTTTTCACAATGTTATCGCGAAAATTCTCACTTATCGTTCGTACTCGTAGTTACTTCACACGCGTGCCATTGTCAACTGCAACAATCCTGTAGAATCAAATAACGTATAGGGCGTTCTCATATTCAGTGTCTCTATATGCGAAAACATTACTTCCACGAAACAGTCGCAATTGCCGCTGCTTGTGAGGTAACATCGTAATAATACTGCATTACGGGACGAGTGCAACGGAGAGGAGCGAAAGGATGCAACAGCCATATTGTTCGAGGGCAAAACTGAGTACCAAAAGTAAAAGACGCCGCTGGGAGGTACAAAGTAGGGAAACACTGATGAGGCCAGACGCTTTTGGTACAGAATCTTTCAGGCAGCTTCACCTTCCGTCTTATCGAGCTTGACTGTCACTTTGTCATATTTTTTTTTTATCCGCGTCTTAAGCCACACTTGTCGGTTGCAGCATCTTTCGCTTTTATCTTTTCCCTTCAGAAATTTCAGCGGACCGGTCTTTCGAAATTTGTTGAATACAAAAATTTTTTTAATCGTCAATATTCATCACTCTGTATATATATATATCTGTATTACAATTATTTTGGCGTAACAGGGAACAAGGGTGTTGCGTAATTTTTCTCTGATCATAAAGCAGGATCATGAGGTCGTATATTGACTCATGCATGTGTGCATTATGACAAGTGCATCCTGGGAGGATGCGTGCACGCATCGGGATTTCGATGCACCGATGCAAGTTCATAATGCACGGAGCAGGCGGAACAGTGCTATGAATAAAGCGGAATTTGCAAAGAGTGCATTTCGTGGTGGAATAATAAAGGAGAGGGGGGACAGACTGATGGAAATCATCGATGATTCAGTCGGGAACATCAATGGGTCCATTATGCAATCATCAGGCAGAATATTCGCAAATGAAAGGCAACGAATGCCGGCTGTTAAAAAATTATTTTCTCAATAAAATGCAAGCCAAAATAATTTCCCATCCGCATGTTCGGTTCAACGTAAATTATTCCATATGCAAAAAATAGGGAAAAAAAAATTTTACATTTACCAAAACACTGTTATTCGCATTGATCGTATTGGTGATTAATATCACGTTATCAGTGTCGAGTAAATGAATGTCGATTTGTTAGAAAAGTTACCTGGGAAGCCGAGAAGAACGATTGTTTTCTCGAAGAGATGGAAGAGGAGGATAATCAAAGAAGAGCACAGGACGAGGAGAGAAAAAGAAAATAAGAGAAAAGCAGGAAGAACGAGACGAGAGAGAATGATGGCGATGGCCGGGATGATACCTGGTGCTGCTGGAGAAGTCGCGGGGGGGGGGCGGCAGGGATGCTGGAAGAACAATGGACCCGATGCAGCCGGCTCAGACGGCCGTTTAGCTTGCTGCGTATATCTCGGCGGTTTCTTTTGGTTGGTTACGAGAAAAGGAGGAGAAAATGAAAAGAAAAGGAGAGGAGGAAAAAGATAGCCTGTCTCCAGTTGCTTAGAAAGGGGTTGCTCTTTGCCAGAAGGGATGGAAGCCAGACGAAGATGGGAAAGGACGTAGTGAACGATGAAGAGTATAAATAGGAGAGAGAGAGAGAGAGAAAGAAAAAGAATGTGCTGGGTAAGACGGAAGGAGGGACGTGTAAGAAGAAATAGATAAAGAAGAATGGTCCACGAAGTGCATCGTTTCTGCACTGCAATTCACTGCAGTTGCACTTGCACTTGCAGCTGCCACGTGTGTGAATATAACTGGTATAGAGACCATAATATCGGCGTCTGGCGAACGCATAGTTCTCGAACAATCGCAGCGTTGGTGTGGCGTCGGGACGCCTGCGCCGCCCCCTGCCGACGTCGACAAGAAACAATGCAGCCGTCGCGGCGGCACCAAACTCGCCGGTTACTTCTTCGCCTCTTGCTGGCCGCAAGTCGCAATCTTATCGCGAACTACGTGTGTGTATATATGTATAATATAAATACCTACACGTGGCAACATACTGCATTCCCATATTTCCTGCTACCAGAATACCCACTTCCCGCTGGCCGCATAGTTGCATCGTGCTTTATGCACTCCGGTGCATAGTCGAGATGCACTTCTAATGAAGATACCACCGGCCAGTCCCTGATTTCCGGCTGAAATTAATGAAGGCGAATTTGTCTCATGGAAATATCATTTGTTTATTATCGTCGCAACGTTTTCAGCTTAAGCTGACGAATGAAAATGACGATAACGATAAAGTAAAAATTTCAATTACCGCTTTTACCTTTGAATATTTATTCGAAAAATTCATATCGTCCCTATGGCAACGCAAAGACGACGTCGTTAATTCCTGGCCCGTATCGTTCGAAAAACTGCATTATTTTTCATCCCACGAATACGTTATCTCCGGAATACAATGCATCGCATAGAAGATGCATAATGCAAGCTGCATTGTTTTTAGATTTTGCGAGAAAAAAAAAAAGAGGAAAAATAGAAAGAAGCAGGAATGAAGGCAGACATCACAAAACCAGCATCGTATAATTTTCGTTCTTATGTCTCTCGTTCTTTGCCTCCGCCTTCCGATCCCCGCGCCCACCCTCCTATTCACCCACAACACCCTCGCGTTCCTACTCCAAAAGCTACCCACATCTTCCACAGGAGGCCGAGAGACAACGCGATGTTAATATTCTGCTCTTCCTCCTCCCTCGCGCCCCTTGCCCATCACCCGCAACGTCCCATCATAACTACGATTTCTACGTCTTCAATGTTTACTGTTATTATATATATATACACACCGTGCATTTATTTTATCCAAGGACTCTGTATAAGTTGGTATGTATGGTTTTGTCACAAAAAAAGAAAAACCATTCGCCTTTCTGGGTTTCGTTTATCCTCGGAAGTCTCATTCGTTTCTTTCCGTTGGCGAACAGGAGGATGGAAAATAAAGACAGAGGGACGAGACGACGAATAACTTGAAAGCTCAAGAACGAGAGAGCGGAGAGTCTCAAGAAATAGAAGTGAAAAATTGGACGAATAAGTGTGGACACGGAGAGGTGGAGGGGGAAGATAATGTATATGGAAGAGTGAGAGAGAGGGGAGGTGCCTTTATTTATCCTCTCTCACTTCTTTTTTCTGGCCGCGTATAAGTAATTGCGGGAAGGCACGTTGCTAAACGAAAACTGCAGGAAAATCGCGCTGGTACCGCCGCGTACGGCCATACCGGGTACTACTGAAATTGCAGCTGATGCGCGCTTAAAAGCCGCCATGGAATTTCAGCATGCAACGAATATTACGCGAAAAGCGTTTACCGGCTGGACGTAAAAGTGAGAGTAAAAAGAAAGAAAAAGAAAAAAAAACGTTATAAGAATTTCAAAGAAAAAAGAGCGATGCGGGAAATTACTGCATTACCCGGCTGCTCGGCAGGAAATAATAATAATTACAAACATAAGTTTTTTTTTGGTTCTTTTGTTTGCTCGGTCGGGCACAACAAGGAGCGATGTAATGGATCGTTGGAATATTCATTAAGGGATGAACGATCAACCCGTCATCCTTTTAAAGCATACCCATACAAAAGTTCACTAGATATCCTGAAGGGTGGGTGAGGGGGTGAATAGGGAAGAGAGGGGGGGTGCTCATTTTTATTTAGTTTTTTATTATTGCCTTGGCTCCTCTTCTACTTTGTTTAATAACGACCCCAATCCTTTTTTTCCCAAAGTTTTAATAGGCTGACTCCGACGAGGGTTGATTGTAGGGGTCGTCGACTGAGTTCCTTTAGGGGGATGCAGATGAGCCCTGACAATTTTCCATAGGTCCATCGATGTTAAATAACGTTGGATGCAACTGCACCGTTCGCTATGCATCTGCACAATGCACTGGAAGGAGATAGGGGAACTATACAGGCACACCCCACGCGTTAAGGGATGCAAACGAAGTCCTCGAGTGTCGCAGGGATAAATTTCGAATTATTTCAACCACCAAGCTGTAAAAAAACTGAATTAATTATCAAAAATGAGAAATATATTCACTGAATTAATATCGAGCTAAATGATTAAAAAAAAAACAAAATTGTTATTTTTTTTCCAAAACCTTATCTCTAGTATTATCATCAATTTTTTCATCCCCCTCCCAGACTTCACACAGTATTAAATCGTTTATAAAATAATAGTCCAAACTAACGCCAGACACATGTGACATCTCCGTGCACGTGGGACTGTATCACTTTTATACGCGAAATCCAGAAAATCGAAAACACTCTACTCGGGGGATGATATATCGTGTCCTATTGTCTAGCATTATCTCGCGGTTAGTCCTGTCACATTTACATGATAAACTGCGGAATCGTCCATTCCGGGCTCGTGCTGTTCTCTCCCTCACGTAGAACATTTGTCCAGAGTTCCCGACAGTGCGCGATATATAATACCGTGCATTTCACTCGGTAACATTTAAAAGGGAATTTCATTCCGGTAAGTTGCCGTCACTTATCCATCCGCATACACCGTATCCTAGCATACTGAGCATGTCGTCCAAAAGAATTATTAGAGTCTTGAAAACAAGGTGTACCATAACCAATGAAAATTTTTGAGGCAAAATATATTTTTTTTAATTTTTTATTTTTATCATAATCATACCATAGATCTTCATCTTCCTAAAATTCATCCCCCCTCAAAATTCTTCGATAACGTGAAATTTTTATTTCCACACGAAGTAGACAGTGAAACGACCGGTTACGCCTGTACGACCCCATTAAAGTTGTCACCCTAAATTTTTATTTCACCCCTATCAACGTCCTATCAACTAGTACGTGCACATAAAAATCCTTTACATACATCCGGATACGGAACCGTACTTGACTTCCACCCCTAAAAATATTTCCAGAAAAAAAAAATACGTTGATTCGTTCGAAGTATTTTTTTTTTTAATACCCCAACCCCAATCCACCCCTCAGTATCACACTGTCGTGAATGCACATATCGTCGATTTACATTACGCATTTAGATAATACGCAATTAATGTCCCAGGGGTTGTTTTACCCTGCCAGTAGTTATATACTCACGTTTGCAGAAAGCCAGCTGCTATCATGGGAATAGGGTGTGTTAGCCAAAGGGTTGTCTGCGGAATATGGCGGGGGTCGATAATACCCACTGTTGCATTATACTCGAAAGTGCATGTGCAAGTGCATACACATCGTAAGGCGTCACATAAGCGCCAGAGCTAAGAACGAAAATGCACTCTCATATTTTTCTACATAGAAAATGGTGGAGGGGTAAAACGTTTTAGAGCGTGCGGCAAGGGGGGCAAGGAGGGGGGCAGGTCTGCGCGAACTCGTGGCCGTGCTACTACCGTGTGGACCATAGGGGGTTGGTACTAGAAAGGGTGTAAAGGAGTGAAGTGTCTCTCTAGTAATGGGTGATGCGGAGACGCTCTAGTACTTTTCTCAGTACTGGGGTGGTTTATATCATCCCTCTGTGCTAGACAGTATGGGTGCACACGCTGCGTACCAGGGTGATAAAAGAAAAAAAAAAGTAATTGCTATAGATGCCTAAGTAGGGATGGGTTGGTACTACCGAAGTCAATTTAACGATAGGCTATTGTACATACAAAGTTAACGGGAATCGAATATACAGGCAGTTACGTGACAGGGGTTGCCACCCTTGTATACCTCCCATCAGTCGTTTGCTAAATGTTATGATTAATAATCAACCTACTTTTTACAGTAAATCACTTTGTTATAGCATATAAAAATTGTCTGATCCTGTACTGACCGTATCTACTTACTGCGCGTTAGCGTACCTTGTATGGGTATATCGATCGGATGGGATTTTCATACGGCGGATCGTATCGGTAGTGCAACCATTATTTATTTGAAATTATATATTGTTATAGGGACGTTCATTTCCCTGAAGTTCTATTATGCATTGTTATTTAATGTCTTCTATTGTTAGTGCCATTCGCGGCAACCACGTGGAACATTCATCATAAATTATTGTTCATTCGTGCATATACAGTCATTACTGATAACACTCACCCTCCCTCCTTTGTCATAATGCATTAACGCTTCCTCCATCGACCATGGTGATTTAATTGGATTTTCAATTTGGACGATTAAAAATTAAATAAAATCTTGGCCATCGAGTAAATCCGCTTCTTGTACGCTGTTAAAAAAATGGAAAAGTGAAAAAGTACAGTCAACGCCAGCCAGGAGGTTCTCCGGGCTGGATCTTCTTGTTTCAGTAGTTTGAAAAAGAGAGAGAGAGAGAAGCGGATTGATAGGGCTTAACGAAAACTGAAGTGGCAGAAAGGTAGAGGAGAGGAGCGAGAGGGAAAAGGGGTTAAAGAAATGAAAAAAAAAAGGAAAAATAAATTGCATTAATAAAGAGCCTTTGCCTCGTTGCGTTGGTGGACCTGTTGAAACGACAAACGTTTAATTTATCTTTTGGCCAAAAGAGCCGCCGTGGAATAGCACTGTGTAGCTATATCTATATATACAATATATCTACCAACCTACTCGTGGGATAAAAGACAAAAGTAGGTACATCCCCTTAGCTGGATGATCCACTCGTTTAAATGTATAATTCACATTGTCAAGAGCTATCTTTAAATTCGTTTGTTTTCTCCCTTTCGTGAGAATTGTTCAAGCTAATCTTTACGTTTGCCGATTAAAAACGGGATGAATTTTTGATACCCGTTAGTCAAGGCAGCTGCGGCAAGTAAATAATTAAGTAATATGCAATTTTAATATTTAATATACCCAATGAATATTTGACCAAAGCATTGAGATTGTGTGCCAAGAAAGGAATTGGGAACTTGTGACAAATGTGATGGAGTGCGAAAAAAAAAAGGGGAAAAAAAAGATAAAGAGAAAAAATGACGAAAATTGGCGAAGGAGGTAAACGACGAGGCGAAGGAGTGAAAGGAAGAATGAAGAGAGCGAACCGCGGACGAGCTACGAGTGCATAGATAGATGGCTTTCAGGGAATGCACTGGGGGGGTGGAAAGTGCATCGTAGAAATATGCCAACTGAAATAGCATAGGAGGTAGACGTCGATCAATATGCCATCAGCTTAAATTACAATAATAACGAGGACTGGGAAAAGCGTCCGGCCAGGATGCAACTGTTATGAAATAATGCATCTGTTAAATCTATCGAATGCCCCCAGCTGTCATTCGCACTGACAGATGCCAATTGGCAGTTGCATCGTCTGTACCTATTACCATCGCGTATGCACTCGTGAACGAAGAATTCCATTGGTCGAATAACCAACGCACTCGGACTCAGGAAAATTATGCAAGTGGAAGAGCAGAGGGAAAAACAAATTAAAAATTAAAATTGGATTTTTCAAAATAAATAAAAAGAAAGAATAATTGCACGATGAATTTTAGGTATCCCAGAGAGTCAGGCAGTAGTAAAAGTACTGAAAGTGTCAGCCAAGCAAGAGCGACTTGCAGGAGTGAATTCTGGGCAGATTCCTTTTTTCGAAATGCATCGCAACGAATGCAACTCCCAAAGTGCATCGGAGGCTGCAAACTTAGATGATACCCACGTGACTAGATGCAGTTTAAATAAGGGTGGTATTCATGGTGGTACATCACAGCCGAAGGAAAAGGGCGGGTTTACGTGAAAAATGCAAAAAACATACGTACCAACTTGTACACGAAAAGCGCAGACTGCAATAAATTCTTTTTTAACCATTTTTTTTTCATCCCCTTTCCGCGTCGATAAAACATTCGAAATGAAACCCGCATTACGCATTTACAACGAAGCTACCGTATACGTGTAACTGCAAAACTGCATATATGCATCGTGTATGAGTACTCGCACCGAGGTAAGTGTCTAAATTTTTTTTCCTTTTTTTTTCGGCATTTCACGTAAAACCATCATTTACCAGAGAAACCGAAGAGGTTAAGACCACTGAGACACACACTTGCGCTTCGCGTATGTAAAATTACACACGCTTCTTTTTACTGGCGCCAATGCACTTGCTGCCTGATATACGTATGCACCAATACTGCACTCGAATGCAGGGAGTGCAGCGTAAAACGGCCACTACCACTACTGTCACTGTCAGCCACGAGTACTTGGCAGCCATCCTCGTTCAGCCATACCCACTGGCAAGCATCGATAGCTAAACTTACTCACCCGGCTAGTCCGCCATTATGCAAAGCACTCTACGTCCATTAGGATTTCCGAAGAGCAATTAGTAAAAGGGCGTGTATGCACATGACTTATAAAGTTCCAGTCCAGCACGTGGTTCTCGAGTCGAAGTCAGTGCCAAGCGAAGACAAACGATCTTCGATTCCACCGTTAAAGCCACTGGAAGTTAATAGTGAAAATTCGTCAAATTATAAAGAACATGTCTACACAATGAAATCCGCTATAACAAATGCATATGCAATTTTGTATAAAAACTAAAAATAGTTTCATCGCATCGACAAATATTCGTAATTTAATCGAATTTTTGTATACATCAAATTTTATATAATCGTCCAATTTTTTTTTCAATTTTCAGAACTTCGTAATCCAGTACCACCCCGTTCCAGCGAACGCGTTAATCTCGTGTCGATTCGTACCGGAGAGACGATAGTACTTTCCTGCATCTCACCCGGTATACCACCGCCAATGTACCTGTGGTTTCGCGAGAGCGGATCTAGGACTGAAATGATTCACAATACTGAACGATCCCATGCACGCTCAGGCGTCTTGATACTACAGTCGGCCAGGATTGAGGATTCTGGTTTGTACGTCTGTCACGCGAATAACACTGCTGGCAGCGAAAGGGTTGAGCTCAAAGTATCAGTGATAAGCAGCTTGTCGATACACCTGGCGCCACTACAGGTCAGTATGCGAAGCGCAAATGTGAACATGGGAAAGATATGGGAACTGTATTTTGGGGTTTATTGAAAGTGTCTAGACTTTAAAAATTTTTCAAAAAATTATTTCAATTTTCTTTTTATTTTTAGACCACCGTGGATCTTGGCAAAGATACGGAATTTCATTGCGCCGTTGCTGGGCAGCCTACCCCTGTCATATCCTGGGCCAAGGATGGTCTTCCGCTTCGCGAAGGATCGTCCAACAGGATCAAAATTTTGGGCGACATGGGAACCACCCTTTACGTCACTGGTGTCACGAGGGTTGACAAAGGGATGTATCAATGCTTCGCGAAGAATGATTTTGAAATGGTCCAGGCTACTGCCGAGCTTCGTCTAGGGGGTGAGTTCGATTTCGTTTTTAATTAATTATCCATCTATCTTAATTGAAAATCGTACGACAATGTTATCCATTTGGCATTCTTCGAATATTGGACGATACTGATCGGATAATGAAATTCATTGACGTCACCGAATAACTCGTGACGTAAATTTATATTGATCTGATCAACGTGGAATAGGAAAATAGTGACGTCACGAAGAACCGAGTCAATCAGATATTAACAATGACAATATTTCAATCGATCAATTATTTTTTATCAATTAATGAATTATCGATAAATCTGACATTTCGAAGCGTCCTTTATCCCATACAAGTAAGTATACCCGGTGTCCATAACTCAATCTCCGAAAGCAGAAATATCAAAATCATCCATTAGAGTGCGCTGGTTTGTGCCCAAGGAACAAAGTGAAATCTAAAAACAATAGTTAGCACGAAACTTCACAGTACGAATACAAAATTTCCTTTGTTTCTACAAGGTAGCCACATTGAAAGTTCCAAATTGGAGCAGGCTGTTTTCCACCTTTAAATAAATACGCCTCGCACTTGCCATTGTCCCCGCCAGTTACCAACCTAACCAGATGGACTTCTTTAGAAACTTAACAAAAAAAAAAAATAAACGCCTGCAGCCGACGAGTAAAAAGAAAAAAAAATGCACTCAGACACCGACGAGGAGAGATAAATGTTTGACGCTTCTACGTCATTTAACGTTCAAGCCAAAACTGTTTCACGTTTCAATGCTGGCAGCACCTATTTTCACAGTGACGTCATCCATTTCCCTAACTGCCAGTACAATTTTCAACAGCGCCACTCGCGCGGATCGTTTCGCTGCTCTGCGATGCTGCACGTCATTTACTAATACAATTGCATCACTAATTAGCCAAATTTCCTGAAATTATTATTATTATAGCTCTTTGACAATATTACACAGGATGTATCTCCCAGTAGGTCAAACATGTGACAAACACTAAGATTAAGAACCCTTAGAAATACTAGGTGGCGAGGGGTGAAAGGTGGCAGAGCGGAGGGTCGATCTAAAAAATTCTCCTACTCGCAATTCTTCTTCTACCCAACTTCGACAGTACTTAGTAAAAAGTTTGTTGTCCTACAAAGTCAATGTAAAATTGACAGCTGACGTTTAAAACGACCGATTAAATACGTCAGAATTAAATGACAGTAAATCCCTGTAATTCGCGTACACTGTATATCGGTGAATAAATATGATTGGACATTGGCAAATGTACGCAATACGTAATTGGTATTACAAGCCGCACGGAATTGTATAATTAATTGCATCAAACTTAAAATGAAATGAACTGAAATGCAGCGAGACGATTAAGAATTGCACGAGCAATCTCAATGAAAAAGATTTATACGGATAGTTGAACAATTTCAAGGCAATAATAATAATTTGAAATGCCATTGACCTTACGTAGTACGTAGTATGCAGTAGTATATACTTTCATTGAGAAACTGCAGGTTCGTCGAACAGGACCCAAGTGCACTTCGACATGGTGCATTAATGGTCAACCAGATAGTGCAGCGGTAGATAGAAGGAAGAGGCCATAAATGTCAATTGTCAAGCTGGTACAACAATTGGCAAGCGGATGGGGAATTTCGTCGAGGAGAAAAAAAGCGACTGGTCGTTGATAGTGGGAGGGAGGTGGGGATTTGCATTGGTACCAACCATTAATTATAATAATCGATGCGAATAATACGGCTCAAATGGGCATGGCGTTGCGGCCCTGCAATGGCCCATTGTGATTTACGCCCTGGGCAAACAAGCCGCCTGGGTTATTGTCGGCTCTATAATTTGGGGTTAATTCAGTGCGGGCCACTCGAGTTCAGGCGTCAAACCACAGATCAATAGTTTCTCGCTTGGGGTCGCAGGGGGTTGCATGCACTGTGAATGTTGCGTGCATAATTCCTTAGTGTGCCGTGATGCACCGGGACCCAAAGGCCGGACCCGGCCGAACGAGGGATGGGATTTTTGAATCGGTGAAAAAGCGAATGACGATATGGGAACGAGAATTTGAAATTAACCCTAATTAATTGGGATATCGGTATGTGGTAATTAGCGTGACTCTCGTGTATAATCGATATAATTAATTCCAGATGCTGCACCGCAGCTGCTGTATAAATTCATCGAGCAAACAATGCAACCGGGACCTTCCGTCTCTCTGAAGTGCATCGCTGCCGGAAATCCGACTCCGCACTTCACATGGACCCTGGATGGGTTTCCGCTTCCGCAGAATGACAGGTAAGAAATTGAACGGGTATATAGAAATCCGCCTTAAGCTGACGCGAGTCTAGTGTGCTGCATCTCGAAAGTGCATCCGGTGCATATGTGATCCATATTAAAAAATCGCTGCTACGTTCCAGGTTCATGATCGGTCAGTATGTGACGGTCTACGGTGACGTCATTTCCCACGTGAACATAAGCACCGTCCTGGTCGACGATGGCGGCGAGTATCGTTGCTCGGCTGCAAATCGAGTGGCAAAAGTGCATCATTCGGCGCGATTAAATATTTACGGTTTGCCGCACGTGAGACCAATGAAAAATTATCCAGCTGTAGCTGGAGAAACGATGGTGATCAAGTGTCCGGTTGCTGGATATCCAATTGACAGTATCACGTGGGAGAAAGGTTTGTGTTTCTACCTGGAGTCGTCTGCTTGGTCGTTTAACTTGTAATATATAAGTATCGATCGATATTGATTATATATTATCACTTCTGATAACAGATGGACAAGCGTTGCCGACCAGTAGAAGACAGGAAGTATCCAGCAACGGTACTTTAGTATTGCATCGCGTCGACAGCAGCATCGATCCTGGCGTCTACACTTGCACCGCCAGGAACAAGCAAGGCAACTCGGACTCGCAAACCGTCCGTATTGAAGTTAAAGGTAAATATCTTTTTTTTTTCATTTCGAAACCAATATACCTTGTTATGGATAACAATGAAAAATTTTCATTCGAAATTAAATATTTCCCACTAATGTAATAGGGAGATTTTAATAATCTAAAGTTTAATTGATTAATATTTAATTTTCATTTTTGCACATTGAACGGCGTTATACAATACTTTTCAGGATATACGAAATTTTTTTAATTTTCATCGTGCATGCCAGTTTCGTATTTCGAATTTATAATTTACTACCTTTTACAATTATTCCAATTGAAGATATTTGAAGACCGAAGATATTTGACCCCTTCCGATACATGGTATCACTAACAACCCCCTATCTCCCTCCACTCCCCCAGTTCTTAATCTATAACGTGTATTACGTGCATCCCCACAGCTGTGCCACACGGTGATTGATTCTTCATCGAATACCAATCGTATGAAATCCTGGTGAAAAATGTCTGGTCTGTCCCCCTGTTCCAGTACCCCCTAAAATCGATCCGTTTAGCTTTCCTGCCGATATTCAAGAGGGCGTCAGGGTGCACGTCTCTTGTGCCGTAAGTGAAGGCGATCCGCCAATGAAGATCAGCTGGTGGAAGAACGGCCGTCCGCTGTTGCCCGGGGAGGCTGACATCGGGCAGATGGGCGAATACGCGCTCACCCTCAAGATACACAAGGCCTTGCCTGCTCACAATGGGAACTACACGTGCGTCGCGAGCAACGACGCCGCTAAGACGTCGCGCACGGCGCCCTTGCTGGTTCACGGTATGAGTCTGTCGCGAGGGTCCGGGGGGGGGAGCTTTATCAAATTTGTTTTAATTTATTTTAATTAATTATTGTTATCATTTTTTTTTGATTCGAGGGAAATTACAATTTTGACTTTATAGAATTGGAGGGGTTGGAAATCAGAGAGGGGGGCAGATACAAATAATAAATTGTAAAAATCTTGTCAAATATACCGGGTGATTTATTTTCACGAGCGATCTTTTTGTGGTACGTTGTTTTTGGATTACGTTACGTTGTTTCATTGAGAATAGTTTTTTTTTTGTCTTATTTTGATTTTTGTCTCCACGGTTTTTTTACCCGTGAATTCTTCACTGCTTGGGACAGTTTCCACGGAGTTTCTTCTTCGTTTTGATTTGTCGTTTCCCGGAAGTCCCTGGGCTCGCATTAAAAAAAGCAAAAACAAAAACTTTAAGGGGAGACGAGAAAATAAAAAAGCGCCTTCGCGAACGAACAAATCAGAGTGCGAGCTGAACGAACGAAACTTTAGCCAACGAAATGGCCTAGGGGTGATTTTCACGTCACGTGTTGTGCCGACAAGCAGAACCAAAACCAGACGGTCTCTCTCTCTCTCTCTCTCTCACACACACACACAAACACAAACACAACTCTCCCTCCTTGTCTCTCCTCGCGCACTCGACGTTTCCACGTATCTGTAATACACACTCTCTCTCTTGCTCCCTCTCCTTATTCTCTCTTTGGGCATTACCCACGTGCACTATCTGGTTCTCCGTTTTCTCAATTATTCTCAAACAACCATCCCTCTGTTCTAATACCCCCCAGGCTCTGGGTGTCTAGGTCAGTGTCTCTCAAACCGATGAGATTTACATGTAAAATTTGAAAATTCTGTTAAAATTGAATTAAGCATCTTTTTATTTTGTCATAAATTCACAAGAACATTTAAGACCTAGCATTATGGATAATTCCAAAATTCCTTGTAAATATACATACATATATGCATCTGATAGATCTTCACAGAAGATTTAATCGTCTTATCAAAATTTTAATTAAAATAATTGTTCGAGCAGTTAAGTTATTCCTAGTATTATAATTTTGTATGAAATTTCTTCGTCAACACGTTTTTGTGCTAACGTGTTAACGAAAACACTGTGTTACCATCGAATTGAGATTCCCTGAACAATGGACACCGTCACAGGACTCCAGCAGCACGTACACACACTCGTTGCAAAGTTACCTACCAACACCCATGTTTATTACACGTATCCATATACATATTTGTGCTTATATTACACAAACATCTTTATACATATAAATTATATGTAAGATATATATATATATAGTATATAGTATATATTACACAGAAGGACGGTGCAGGCGTCGTCGAGCGTCGCGAAACGTCACATCGTCACCAGACGTTAACGCCTACCAACTTAACGTGACTCGAGTGCCACGTTTCTGCTGAATTTGTCTAGCATCAAGTGTTACTCTCTTGGTTCCGGAGTCGCGCCCGGTCGACGTCGCTTTAGGAAAGGCGCCGCGACGGGCCCAGCACACGTCACCCAGTGCAAAGTCACAGGCAGCAGGAACAGCGAACGTCGTGACAGCAATAGGAGCCGTACCGTCGCCAAGGATCTTGAAATAAAAGCAAATTAGCATCTTCCCGCAATATCCGCAAGATGAATTTAGCCAATTTAGAAATTTGTAAAAAGTCCAAATTTTCAAAAATCATTGATCCGTTACAATACATGTGATTAAAATTTTACAGGTTTGACAATGTTCCCGCGTGACTCGCAAGGCAGGAGTTCAATGAAAAGTTAAGATAAAGCTGTATCCAAAATCGTGAAATTCTTATCAGACTCCCCAGCAGCATCGGTTTGACCCGGATGAACCTGGTGATCGAGTCTGCTGCACCGGAAAATGACGTTTCCAAGGAACGCATCCTCTCTGTCTCTCTTTGTTCGTTTCAGTTCCGCCTAGGATAGCTCCCTTTAGCTTTAACAAGGACCTGTCAGAGGGCGTGAGGGCTCAGGTGACCTGTATGGTCGAGAAGGGCGATCCGCCGTTCACGATCATCTGGTCGAAGGACGGCGAAATGATAGCGAGCACGGGAGGTCCAGGCTATGTGGCTGGTGGTGGCGTCTCTAGAGGCCAGAGCCTGGCCCATCTCCAGGCCCACCACGAGGCCCAAGGGCTCAAGGTCAAAATCATTGACGACCATTCCAGTGCCATTGTTATCGAACACGTGACTGCGGCCCACACGGGCAACTACACCTGTGTGGCGCGCAATCCGGTCGCCGAGGTCCACTGGACGGCCGAGTTAGTCGTTCGTGGTAATGTTGCAACATCAGCTGGCTGCCAAATAATTGCAGAGCCTGAATTCAATATGATCGAGTGTTGCCAATCTGCACAGATTCACGTTTCTTTTACATTGCGAGCAGCAAAATGCACCTAATCAGATATATATGCAGCCACGATAGGAGATTTCTCAGCACAGGATGCCATTTTTTGTAATTCGCAATTTTTTTTTTCTTTTTCTTTTTTTTTTTTTTTCCTAATGACGTCATCGGCCCGATGAATTTCTTTCGTTACCTTTCACTATTTAACGTCGCTCGGATACTTTCGGCCGCGTGACGTCACAATTTCAGCATGCACACGCAAGCAAGCAATGCAGTTTTTTATTGCAGTACGATTGCAGCGACGGCACCGTATAGCACAGAGCACCGCTCCTAGATCAATTGGATATTTTTATTGTTATCGAGAAATTTATCGATCTGTATACCATTGTATTACTTTGATCAGGCTTTTCATTCGGGAAATTTTTCAATATCGATTTTATCATTGTTATACACACTTTTGTGTGTACAGGCCAAATGGGTTTTGGATATTTAAGAAATTTTTATGAAAATTCACGAATGGAATGCTATTACTTTGTTGCAGTATGCATGAACACGCACACTTTTATTTATATAAGTAACACGGCTTTGCCATTATTTCATTTAGAAATCACGAGTATCCGTATACGTGTATATGTGGATTTATAATTTTTTTGTTTAATATGCCGAAATAATTAGAGAGGATACTCGAAATTTTTAATTTGAAGAGCACAACAAAAATCGAAATTCTTACTTGAGCACAAAGCACACGTATACCTACTTATACCGCACATACACGATTGTTTGTTTGTTTGTTCTTTACCTTTACGGACGATTACAACACAGCACCGATTTTACTTAAAAATTCTGAAATCCTTTCAGGCTAATCTTGTTTATCACGAGTCACTGTCACGCGTGTTGACACGTTAAAGTTTTCGTAAGTTAGCGCACTGTATTTTTTCTGGGTCGAGATGTCCGCACAGCACTGATATACGTATAAATGTATAACATAGATGTACATACACAGTGTAAAAATGTATATAACTATAATATGTTGTCACGTTATTTTTACTAACAAAAAAAAAGCATTGGTCTCATTAACTGACAATTTTTTTGATTTTCGATGTTCGGTATCGTGGCCACGTGTTGCATTAAAAAAAAAAACGAAGTTGTCTACTAAAAAAAATAATCTTCATTTTTAAATCATAATAAATGATGACGCACCTTGTGCGTTTTAAAAACTCAACGAGAATATCGCGAAAAATTTCGATTTTACGATGGTAGATAATACTTTTTAAAATTTTCAAAATTTTATAGCGCTCTGTAAATTTTAAAGTTCTCGCAGCAATTTTCATTTCTGCCGTAGTTTCAAAATTCGCTCGCGCCTAAGCGTAATATCTTTGAATTGATAAAAAAGTTCGTCGTATTCCTAAAAAAAAAAAAAAGAAAAACGAGACCGCAAAAAAAGCTAATAAAAAAATGAGGAAGATGCTTAAAATTAATAAGAATTATTATTCCCTCAAATCGCAACAACATTCTTATTACGAAAAACCAAAAATGGCACGTTATTAATCGAAATTTTAAACGTCTTCCCCATTTTTTCAATAAATAGCCTCAAAAGATCACATAAGCTAATAGAGGTATTTTCAAAAAAAAACTGCAGTACCACCGAGATGGATCGTGAAGCCACAGGACGTCCACGCACCGGAAGGAATGTCACAACTCGTGCTCCACTGCAATGCAGACGGATTTCCGTTACCTTCGATGACCTGGAGACGAGCAACCGGAAAGGAGCCTGGCGACTATCGTGACATAGCGAGTCACGAGCACGCGCACGACTTGAGGATTCACGCAAACGGATCCTTGGTCTTTGGTCGCGTGCAGGAAAATCACGAGGGATTTTATCTCTGCGAAGCTGTCAATGGAATTGGTGCTGGTCTCAGCAAAGTAGTTTACCTGACTGTCAATGGTAAGTGTATATAGGAATATGGATTGAAAAAAATTTTGACTGTCATAGATATTTTTTTAAATATAATTTAATTTTGTACCATTAAATTGTTTATTCTCTCTGTATTCACAGCGCCGGCTCATTTTACGGAAAAGCACAGAAATCACACGGCTCGTCTCGGTTCACGTGCGTCCTTGAGATGCGAAGCCAAAGGAGATCGCCCATTGAAAATTCTATGGCGAAAGGATGAGCTGCAATTGGATTCTGCTGTTTCCGATTATCGTTACATGTTTAAGGAAGTCAATACTACCGACGGTGCTGCCAGCATACTGGAAGTGGTGAGAACTACTCGTGAAGACAGTGGTCGTTATTTTTGCATCGCGTCCAATGCATATGGAAGGGATGAGATGCTTATGCACCTTTATATACAAGGTATCTTTACGTTATATAAAAATTATTGTTCTCGAGACCCAAAATGCGAGAAATTGTGGAAATGTTTGAATTATTTGATTTTTTTTTAAATTGTAATTTTTTTTTCTAGAGCCACCGGATTTTCCAAAAAATGTACACGTTCTTGAAAAGGGCAGTAGGTATATAAAAATTGGATGGACCACTAGCCAGGATGGTAACAGTCCCATCACGCAGTATATCATCGAGTATAAAACGGACACTGGTGAGAATGGCACTGATAACGAATTAAGGATTGTGTTTGTGTGTCGATAGTGGGGGGCTGGAAATAGTGCGGTAAAACGCTTACAAAAGTTTTTTTTATTTTCACAGAAGGCTGGCACGATCGAACGTTTCAATCGACGGTACCAGGATCGCAAGCACACGCTCATATAAGCTCTCTGAGGCCTGCGGTGAATTATCATTTTCGAATTTTTGCAGAAAACGAATTGGGTAGAAGTCAAGCGAGCAACGTATGTTAAAGATAAAAAAAATATATAGTAAATTTTGATATGGTAAGAGAAAGGCACTTGGTAAGAAAATTGTATGTATCCTGATAGGTTCTGGACGTGATAACGGAAGGTGAAAAACCAGGTGGACCCCCGCGAAATTTGAAAGTCGAACCAATCAGCTCCACGGAATTCAAAGTGAATTGGGATCCGCCCGATCACGACCTGTGGAATGGGGAAATTCTTGGTTATCACGTGGGCTACAAAGAGCACAAGTAAAAAAAAAAGATTCATTTAAAGATCGATAAAAAATAATAATAAATCAGAAATTAATATTGCTCCCTCAATTTATAAAGGAAAATTCATAATTACAGACTGACCGCTGACCAGTACATTTATCGCACGGTAGAAGGAGTATCGATTGGCAACCCTGCACTGGGCCTGGCGAAAATGTCGATGCCAGAACGCGTCTATCAATTGAAAAATTTGAAAAAGCATACACGATACAGTATAGTGGTGCAAGCCTACAATGTTCTGGGACCGGGACCACTGTCACCGGAAGTGGTAGCCTCGACACTGGAAGACGGTAAAATTTAGAGAAATATATATCAAAATGTAAAAAAGAATATTGCTAGAAAATTTTATATTCATACACATTTATTTTTTCAGTACCCAGCGAACCACCCCAAGACGTCCGTTGTACGGCCCTGTCATCACAGTCTTTACAAGTATCCTGGGACCCACCACCGGAAACCAAGCTAAACGGTATCTTAAAGGGTTACAAGATCATGTGGGAAAATATGGATTCATTGACGGAAACTCCTAAGTTGAATTCAAAAAATACTGGAGTCCTAACGATTGTGATACAAGGCTTAGAGAAGCACACTAATTATTCAATTCAAGTATCGGCGTTCACAAGAGCCGGCGACGGCGTCGCCTCGACGCCTATTTATTGTCTTACCGAGGAGGATCTACCGGACATGCCAGCAGGTGTTAAGGCTGTTGCCAGTTCCGCTAATTCGGTCGTCGTCTCCTGGCAGCCGCCATTGCATGCCAATGGCGTAATCACTTCGTACAATGTTCACATGCGGCCCTTGGGCCACGACACCAAAACATACCGACGCCCAGTATCACCTCATCAGACCAGCTATCAGGCAGAAAATCTTCAAAAGAGACAACAGTACGAATTTAGCATAGCTGCAGAGACTTTAGTTGGCGAAGGACCTCAGACACCGCCGATAAAAATATCACCATCTAACGAAGGTAGAATCTCAACTAATCAAATTGTTTCTTCACGTCGTTTCTATACCGAATATAAAATCTGCTACTATGTTTTTATAATTTTTCAGTGCGCGCAGCTATTTACTCATTTGGCAAGACTCTCGTTGTGCCTTGGAAACAGGACGTGACGTTACCCTGTCAAAGCGTCGGTAAACCAGAGCCAATAATAACCTGGAAACAATGGGGCCAATTAGTGAAACAATCAGCACGAGTGTCCAAACTACCAGACGGTTCTTTGCAGATATCAGATTTACATAGAGAGGATTCCGGGAATTATACATGTTTCGTGGAAAATGTTCACGGGTCCGATCAAATAACTCATCGAGTAACGGTACAAGGTAAAATCAAAATTAACCCAATTATCAGCAAGGTTAACGTGATAGTACAATCAAAATAGATTAATCGGCTGATACCGTCTCTCATTTTGGTACCAAATAGTTCCACCAGCGGCGCCACTACTGCACGGCACTAGCGCCACGACCAATTCGATAAACGTCCAATGGAAACATGGCGATGACGGCGGTTCGCCCATAAGAGGCTACATTTTGCATTACAAGCGCGAGCTTGGTGAATGGGAGGAGGTTAAGGTGTCCCATAAGATAAATAGTTTTTTATTGTCGCAACTATGGTGCGGCACCGACTATCAGGTTTACTTAACGGCTTACAATAGAATCGGTATGGGTTCTCCAAGTGAAATTGTCAAAGCTACCACAGCCGGTAGCAAACCGGAAGCATCGCCATCTTCCGGGGAAAGATTCATCACGGTCAATATATCCTGGATCACTTTACACTTATACACATGGAACGACGGCGGTTGTCCCATAACGTATTTTGAATTGGAGTACAAAAAAATTGGCGAGGATCTGTGGACGCTTGTTTCTAATAATATTGAGGTACACCACTCCATCCATACCCCGTTAGACCTTTGCTACCCTTTTTCATTATGTCTCTTCGTGTTCTTTCACCAGGTTCAAAAGACTTATACTCTCAACGAGCTGCAACCTGGGAGTACCTATGAGATACGCATACGCGCGCACAACAATGCAGGTTCTTCGGTTGCTGAATACAAAGTAACAACCCTCCAACCATACACCAGCACTACTGCACCTGCAATAGAAATAGATCACTATAAGCCCCATCATACCCCAATGTACTCTGACCTCAAGCTCATCCTTCCTCTCGCCTTAAGTTCATTCCTAGTGATTGCTGCAGCTGGTGCAATTTTTTACTGTTTCCGAAAACGTGAGTACATTTTTTTTCTGGATTAAAGTATCAAGATCTATAATAAAAAAATATATTTTATTCACTCTTTGTTCTACTTTTGTCTTAGGCCCCTTAATGGGGAACGTAGGAAATCTTCACGATGCTCAAACAGCGGCGGCACTTGATAACAAACAAAACATGGAGCAACGAGAACAATATTACGCCACCGTAATGAAGCCACTTCGTTCTCCCATTCACGAGATGGCGACACTGGAAAGAATACCGGGTGAGATTGTATTTGGAATTTATCTGTAACAACTAAGTGGGTATTATTGTTGGAATACACATTTTATGAAAATTGATGGCCGCTTATTGTTTGTAGAATATTCTGACGACATCTATCCGTACGCGACATTCCAACTGAAGGAAAGTGTACCGGCTGGTAATGAGAGCCGCTGCGACGCGGCGGCGCCACTGCAGACCTTCGTTTATCACGACCCACGACTATCGGCCGCCGATACGTTGCAGCTGCGGGAGGTACAGTTGTCACTCGAAACTGCATTTTTCATTTTTCACACATTCTCACCATTTTTTTATTTTGTTGCCTCCCTTTTCGAGATAACCTATCTCCGATCACGTAGCTAGTATGGCTTTACGTATTGATCCCATGTGCAATATTATTATGCATGTCACCTCACGGAAATCACAAAACAAAGAATTAAAAATTTGAGGAATCGCACGAATTTCAATAATTCTTTTTCTGCAAAATCAATCAGAGCACGTCTTTGCCCGTTATGGTGACAATTTCCAAATGCACCGACGCTTGCCAGTCAGTCGTGTCTTGTACGAGGGAGAAAGATTATCAAATATATTTATCAATATTGTATCTAAACAGATGAAACAAATTTACAGTTTATCAAACAATTATGAAAAAAAAAAAGTTAAATTCGCGTAAATCTCGCCTAGCCTTAACGATCAAGATCGCCCAATCATGACGTTCAGATAGCTCAAAATGTTTAAAAAAAAAAAAAAAAAAAAGTAGTCAAAGCAAAATCCAAAATGAATTTAAAAAACATATTATCCGTCTGCTGGTCCCCTCCTGCTTCGTTATACATATAAAAAAAATTCCGCAGCCATAGCCAATTGGCAAAAGGATATATAATAATTCATTAACACACGTCATCCAATCAAATCAATTCCGTCTGATTGCAGTCGGATTGCAACCGGTACACTAAGGTGCGCGGAGGCCGTGCGTCCTCTGCGCCAATGTATAAAATCCACAAGCCAGGTAATCTGGGCAAGTCCGAATCGGAGGAATACGACACGCATGGCTCGGACAGCGACACCGAACTGGGGACCAGCAGCAGAACCGAATCATCTAATCATCTCGTCGATTCGCACCATTTGGTACCGGGCAGCGATGCCCGTGTCCACAGTACGCCCAGTTCACACGTTACCATATATATGATTAAAAAAAAAAAACCTAGAATGAGAGGATAACAGAATTTTCGAAAAATCGAGGAACACCAGCCGTATCCTCTTTTTTGAAAATTTTGAAAAACGCTAGGCGAGTCGCGCGACCAGTTCCTCTTTCCTTGTGTGAATAGGTAACGTTGAGGTCTCCTATTTTTTTACTTTTTTTTTTTCAAAATCGGAATGCGCATGCTTTGAAAATTTTCCTATACATAATTTACAGCACCCCCTCTTATCAGTCATAAGATATACGTACATGTCTCATAAATGATGTACACATATTTGCTTTCCTGTTGAATTCTTAGACTTCCTGTACCATGGACCAGAATCTAGCACGTCTACAGAATCCTCACCGATTTCTGAGAGAAAATCGTTTCCTCGACGAGGAGGATCCAAGTAAGTTTGTTTTTGATCGATTTTGTACTTGAAAACAAAGTTTTAGTTCACTCTCCGATATGAAATTTTGATTCGGCACTCAGTGTCCTCCCAGCACAGAATCCTCTGAGGGTAAACGAATTCTAAGGATGTTACAGTTGGCGCGTTGTACCCGCGAGGAGACCAGGTCAGGGCTCGGGTCAGTCAGTGGGTTTGGCAATCCCAAGCACCAGTCGCGCACTCACGTCGTCAGTAGGGAGCAGGAGCGTGACGGATGCGGAAGTCTGTTCATCACCAAGGTGGACCCACCCTCAGGTTTCTCCGACACGATTGAGCTAAGAAAGACAGATTACGACCTGGACCGCGGCCACGGTGGACACAGGAGATCGCAGGGCTTCGTGATCGCGGTGTAAATACTGGAAGACGAGAAGAGAAGGGAGAGAGGCGGAAGGACGAGGAAAAGAAAGAAAAAAATTATATCAGAGAAATTGGCGATCAGCCGATCTGAAATCTCGAAGGCGACGATGAAACATGAAGAATGTATACGGTAACACAGTTCAATGGAAATTTGAAAACAAAAAGAAAGTATAACACGATAACTGAATGTCGGAATTATCTGAAAATTCCGCAAAAAAAAAAAATTTGGTTCCAAAAGCGAACTAACGGTATTTGTTTGTCTCAGTGTGGGCCTGGCCTATTACTTCGCCCCTGCCACTTATAGGCTAATAGTCGTAAACCATTGATGTTCAATAATCTCCGAACCTTGAGCCAAACAAATGGAACACCCGGTTGATATGTATTTTTGAATTTCTTTTTACACCCCTGGACCATCCAACCCTTAATTGTCTAAATGTGACTGTTTCACGATATACTTCGTATGACTGTACTGTGGACCTATTGAACTGTACTTATCGTCATTCGTGTTAATTGAAAGTTGAAAATTGTGAATGGATTTGTAAATAGTCGGTAGTAACCAGTCATCGTGATGACTGTTGAATGGCAGACGTAAGCTTAAGGTTCGTTTCCATGTGCGCGTTTCATCAAATTTTTTGTTAGCTCTAATTCATACAACGGACCCAGCCAGCCAAACAGCTGTTCGATGTATCTCCTTAATATGATGAATTCTGAGGCTGACGGTTACGTCAATTTACATCTAGCTGCCCATTGGTCGAGTCCGTTGAATCCATTGAAGCTAGCAAAACATTTGGTAGAACGAAGTTCAGTCTTGTCGCAAAAGAATCGCGAACGTGAAAATGAGCCTTCATAGTAAATATACTGTAAGAAGCGTGATAGACGAGGGGAAACGGTGGATATAGGGTGTCATAAGAGTAACGAGACTTGAAAAAAAACCTGTTTGTTGTAATTGATGTAAAATGCTATACACTAACGATCCAGCGATCCTAAGGGTAAAAAATCCGCCAATCTAGATCCGTGGATACCACGTGATCGTCTACGTCCTCCGTTCGAATAATCGAATTTAGTCAATAAGAGCGCAAACACTACCACACTTAAAAAAAAAAACGATTTAGTTATTTTCTTAACTTGATCGTACGTTTTTCAAATCTCCCGGGCAAATGAGAAGAACCAAGTATCACGAAGTATAACAGTAAATAAAACAAAAACTCGCCAATCAATTTTGCCCGATCGATTAATCGTATAATGAATTATTTGCGCGACGACGGTAATTTCGAAGGATGAAAGAACAAACGGAGAGTTGAGAGGAAAGAAGAGAGAAACGTTATTTATCTTGCGTTTTAGACTATATTAGATTGTTTATATTGCACTTACTTTATAAAATATAAAATAATCGTTCCAATTTCAATCTTTCCCATACACTATACGTTATTTCATTACGTCATCGAGCGGTTACGACAACATGCGTTATTTATTTATTACGCCTGAGAAATACGTTTTCTTAAGAAATTCACACTTTTCGATGTTTAATCCACTAAATGTGACAAAGATGGCATTACGTGTTCTGTCCAGCAAGTGCTGTCCCTCAAACGGTAAATATCTGAACTCCACAGGAGGATTATAATTGTAATGTGTCCTAACAATGGTAAAAACATGTAGTAACTAAAAGAGATTTCAAAAAGCATCCAGAAGATGGAGATACACAAGATGTCGGCAATATTCTTAAGATTCCTTTAAATCAATGTGATAATGTGCATGGGAAATTAATCGCAAATAAATATCTTATGGAAACGAGGAATTCGCCCTATCATTAAAGTATGCATTGACCCACCCACCGAATGTCGCGACAGTTTAAAATTTACGAAATTCCCTTGCTTCCTAAAAAAATCCCATAAAGGCTCTATGAGACCCAAAACCAAAAGGGGTGCTAACAAAAGTTAGTACAATTTTGAAACAAAAAACCTAGCCCTAACAATGCTTCATATTTCTTTTATTAAAAAAAAAATAAATGCTGAAAAATAAATTCCGTATATCCACGAGTACACCAATGACGTACCAGAATCGATCCTGTCAACCCGTTCCCCTTCGAATGCGCATCCTCACCACACATTCTCGGAATTCTCAAGGGATGCTGTCAATTCCGAGAGAAATATTCGTGGAATCGAGTGTTTCCGCTGGCCATTCGTGGCGCAGAGGATCTTTTATTTTTCGAACTTCAGTTCGCTCCACCACGCATAGGTGCTCCAACATCTACAGGGCGATACAAGAAGAGCATGCGCCGTGTTGCCAGGCTGGACCCTGTGTACTATGAGTGGTGGTGTCTACGGTGGTGGTAAGACACATTCCCAATACGTACCGTTTGTTTTTATGATACCAAGTAAAGTCCAAAGAGAAAACACTAGAATCCCCCATGACAAGTAATTAAAGCCCGTTAATAAGCCAATAAATTTTCCCTAGACGAGGTCGGAGCTATTATCTTCGACATTGGCCACCAAAGCCTGCGCGTCGGATATGGCGGTGAGGATGCGCCAAAGGCCGAAATACCAACGAGCCTCGGCGTCTGGGAAGATCCGAATGACAGTATCGACAGCAGCCAGCAAACTGTCAAGAAGCAATACAACATTGACGTCACTGCCATACAATTTCGTAAAGAAGGTAAACAATAACATTACACCCAATAACTATATGTATACATATATAATTATCAATGATCGATACAAAGACGTCATCCATACAAGTCATCCGATTTTTGACAGCTGTCAATCCTTTGATAGTCTTCTTCTACCTTGTTTCTTCTCTCTCAGACATGGAGATAGTCAGTCTGATGAAGGACGGAATGATCGACGATTGGGACATGTTTGAACGTCTTGCCGAGTACACGTACAAGCAACGGCTCCACGCTTTGCCAGAACATCATCCGATCCTCTTGACAGAATGTCCATGGAATACAAGGCTCAAGCGTGAGAGACTCCTGGAGATGATGTTCGAGAAGTTCAACGTGCCAGCAATGTACATATGCAAGAACGCCGTCCTAGCAGCTTACGCGAATGGCCGCTCGACGGCGATGGTCGTCGACAGTGGCGCCACTCACACCAGCGCCGTTCCGGTTCACGACGGCTACGTCATCACTCAAGGAATCGTCAAGAGTCCTCTGGCCGGCGACTTCATAACTATGCAGTGTCGTCAGTTCCTGGAGGAAAAGGACATCGAGTTGGTTCCAGCCTGTCTGGTGGCTAGTAAAGGTAGGTGAACCTGGTCCAGTCTGACATAACCTGAAATAACAATCATTTCTATCCTACTTAAGACGTGGTGAGAGAACGTGAACCTCCAAGGTGGATCCGAAGATCTGGTCCAGAGCCGACTTCCTCGTGGCTGACTTATATGGTGCGTGAACTACTGCAGGACTATCAGATGAATTGCCTTCAAATCTCGGATGGTCCATATGATGAAGACACAGCTGCCGCTTTGCCAACGAAGCGTTATGAATTTCCTACGGGATACAACGATGAATTTGGATCAATAAGACTGATGATTCCTGAGGCACTTTTTGATCCCAGTAACGTTAAGGGTGTTGGCGCCAGCATCCTTGGGGTCGGTCCATTGGTCACCACCAGTGTCGGTATGTGCGACATGGACATAAGACCGGTAAGTCGGAGAGAGGAAGAAGACGGAAGGGTTCAGAATTTTTTGGATGGATGAAAATTAATAATAAATTCTTTTTTAGAGTCTCTACGGAAGCGTCGTTGTTACCGGTGGAAATTCCTGTCTTCAAGGCTTCAGTGACCGACTTAACAGAGACTTAGCTAGTAAAACACCCCCGGTAATTATAATCGTAATTTTAATCAGGTTCAGTGGATTACGTTTGTTGATGTCATTGTTAATATGTGGATTTTTGATTGCAGAGTATGAGACTGAAGATTATTAGTGCCAATAGCTCCAGTGAGAGACGTTACGGTGCCTGGATCGGTGGCTCCATTTTGAGTTCACTTGGATCCTTTCAGCAAATGTGGTTATCGCGACAGGAATACGAGGAATCAGGAAAAATGATTCTGGATCGATGCGCTTAAGGTAATTTTTTTTTTCAATTTTACGAAGAATTCGAGACTAAATGTATAAGAATTTGTTTTACGTTAATTTGGAGAAAAAGCAAAAATACGAAATCGCTGATGCATGTATACAATTTTTTCCAATTTTTAAGGGGAATTTTAACCCAACGCGCTTTGTACATGTAAAACGTTTATCTTGCGATATTTTTAAGGTATTTTAAACAAAATCAAAATGACAAAAAGCAATGTGATGCGACGGGTGATAGTTAATTCGTTTGAAATTTTTTATTGAATTTCAAAACGTGATATCAAAATTCACCTATGTAAAATTCATGAATCTAGGCTTAAAATGTCTTTCGAAAAAAAAAAGAAAATGTTGAAAAAATTTATTCTAAATATTGTTGTAGAGAATTTTCAATTTTTGTAAATACAATGGCCCATCTATGCGTAAGACAGTTCCTACAATTTTCGAAATAATCAACGGATTTTGAAAGTCGATAAATTTATTTAGCATTTTTGCAATTTTTTATCGATCGATTCTTTCTAATCGATACTTCTTATGCGTTATTTTTTCTTTCTTTACTAATAGTCGTATATGCTATACATATATAATATATGTATACGTAACCAGCCAATAATCAACAGTATTCCAAAAATTTTATCGTCCGTAGATTTAATGGTAATCACGAATAAAATACATTTTTTAAAAAACTTTTAACTAGCTATTAAGCGATATCAATCAAATTGCTATTTATCATTCATTCTAATAATTCATAACATTATTAGCCAATTCGTTGTAATTGCAGATGCAAATTTTGATTTATTGTTAAAAAAATACAAATATACACATATTTCCATAAGCAATACATATATTCGTAGTTTATATAGAATTGATAAGCAATAAATAAAAATACGTTGAGTTACGCTAACTTGATAGGTTGATTATAATAATAAAAAATTACATGAATTTTATCCAAAGATCCTTAATAATTTTTTGTGACGTGACGCTTTGTGACATGATTTTTCGATTCACAAGGCGACTCCGGCTACCGATACAGTGCCAGTTATGCCAGTACTCTCGAAAGATTGTGTTATTGTTTAGCGATCTGCCGTGGGGATTCGCTAAGGAACGCTCTTGATTTGGTTTAAAGGGACGACTAGAGGGAAAGGGAAGAGTTATCGGCTATAAGGATTTCGACCAATCAGATGATCAGAATTATTAGTTCTCGAATTTGGCTACTTTGTCAAAGCAGTCTGTCTCGGGGCACCGACCGAGGTGTCACGGGCTGCCTCGCGCTCCCGGGCTGTTTGTTTATAGTTTTTCTAGCTGTGTTTAGATACGGTATAGAAAATTCTCGCTCGCGGAGTTCTCGCGTTGCTCTCGCGATATCCAGAAAATTCTATAAATTTTCTGTGCGTGTTCCGGAAGTGCAGTGTCGTGACCTAGTGCAGTGCCCACCCGAGTGTCTCCTGGATGCAGTTCTCGGCCTCCACGGATCAGCCGCACCAGCTTCGGTGAGCACTCCCAATTTATTAATTGGTGAAGGGATTTCGATTTGATACTTCCGATTCGTTCTTCCGGTTCATTTCCGCAACCCTCCGCTTCCGTTCGTGCGTCCAGTTGCGTTTGCTGGTTTTACGCGACCCCAAAAATCCACGGTGAATTGGTTGGCGCCCGCCTGGCTTAATTGAGTTAATAGAATTATAAATCGAATAAAAAGAACACATATATCCATATCATGAATCAGACCCACAATTTCACGAATCGTACAACAATCCGTATGACTTGAAGTTGCAAACCAAAGTAGTAGGAAAAAATGTTAATAAACAAAAAAAAATCGAAAATGATTCTGAAATTTGACATAAAAATCGAGTTGACCCTTCGTCATTTTATGACCTCACAAAAATAAATAACCAGACGTCAAATCGTTCGGCCGTAGGAAATTTTATTACTAAAAAAAAATATAAAATAAAATGGACGATTCGGAAAACGAAAAAAAGAAAACGTGGAAAGTTACTGTGGAGAAAATGCGCGAAAGACTTAAGAACCACATTGACGAAAACACATTCGAAGGCATAAGAGAGGATAAGCTGTATCACGGTCTAAAATTATCAACATCTGTGACAATGTTGGGAAAATATATAGAAATATGTTACTGCAGTGAATCACAGGTATAATAATAACAAGCAACACTTAGCAATAAGGGAAATCATGAATCGCGCATCATTTGCGAAATTTGGTCCATCCGTCCATTAATGTAAAATCATTAAAATAATCAGTACTGAGCGTCACTCGATGACTATAGGAATATTTAGTACTGGAGCCACTGCAAGCAGTGTACAGGTATTCGATGCAAGGTAGACCAATTCTGCCATCTTATACGCTGAGTAGCACAATGGGCTTCACGAAGATGATCTGGTGCGACGTAGCAAGATCGTTAGCCTGTTACTCGACGCACGATGATCTCCTCTGGATCTTGACAGGAACCTTCGTGCTGTATCAAATAGTGAGAAACGAATTTCGTATTGAGAATTTGGCATACGAGCCACTTACGAACGACCTAATTGTCATTGGAGAGACTAAAGTCACGGTGAGAATAATTATTTGTTGGGATGGCATTATTTTTGGGAATAATAATAATTATTTGATTGAAAAAAAAAAAATTGATCGATTTCACAGAGATATAATTTGGATCACAAAGAGCAGACTCTCAATTCGTGGAAAACAATGTGTTACGTTGACAGCGAACTTGGTCCATTATGGAAGATCACATGTTCATCTTTGATTCCGCAAAATACATGTATGACGTTATAATTAATTAATTCGTTTAATGATCGTTAATAGGCAATCAAAAAATGTTTGATTGGAGCTTATCGTGTAGCACTGTTAAGAATGGCAGCTTCGTATATGACAACTCTGTATGTCTGTCCGTTGGAATCTGGTAAAGATAAAGAAGACGGAGCGCCGGCCGCTTTTCTTGAAAGACGCAGTAACGCAACGGATGCCACGATTACCGGATTGCTCTTTCACGTAACGTGTCATTGGATCATAACGGGGGACCAGGCTGGGAACGGTTGGGAAATAAGAATTGGATAGGCGTGGAATTGCGTAAAGACAATGAATTAATTAAGGGAATTGCAATGAACAGTTACTGGCTGGAATCTCAAATTAGAATGCATGATGTACTGCGAGGCTGCACACCGTGGGCAGGTGCGTGAAATTGCGGCGCATCCTTCGATATGCGGCTTCGTAACGTATGCGGACGACGACGTCTTTCAAGTCTGGAGTTGCAACTTCCGAGACAAGGTGAGACTAAAGTGAATGCGTGTTGGAATTGTTTGACGATAACATATCGCAGATGGAAACGTTCACGAGTTTTGGAGAAATACGTGGAATTGCCCTTAACGAATCTGCAGCTGCAATTGCCACTCTTGGTTCAAAATTGAATTGCTTTAGTATGCATCAGCTATACATCTTCTATGCGCCGCTGACGTAAGTCATATTCTTTACATTTAATTATTCTGAATAGTCATATAAATGCTTTCGCAATAACGGAATTGCGTATTATAATCTTATAGTCATTTCGCGACTATTCTGCATTCAACAACCCATCCAATGCTTCCAAAGAGAATAGTTGCGTGCAGCTATGATAACATTATCCGAATATTATCGTCGCCTGCCGGAAAACAAATTAACGTGCAAATTTTGCCAAAGACACTCGATGTTATTTCTACGGCCTACAGCTACACCACGGGTAAATAATTAAAATTAATCACAGGTATATTCATTAAGTTGATCATCCGTTTGATTTAATGATAATCAGAGAGGCTTTACACCATCATTTTGAAAACTGGTGAAATTCTCGTCAGTAGCTCCAAAACGTATCCAATGACATTCAGGTGAACACATAATAATAGTACTTTGCGATACAAGTGCGAGAAAGCGAACTTTCTAGGCAGGCGGTGAAGTTGGTCGCATGAGCCGCACACGCATGAGTTACATAAAAATTAATAATAAAATAATTTTCAATCCTGTCAATCATTTGATTGATATTCAGCTGGCATTGAATTATTTTTATTTTAGATACGTATGGATAGATAGCGGTCCAGCAATCAGTTGCATTGTTGCTTACGAGCATTACGAAGAAATTCGTGACTTTGATTTGAAACCTCAAAGTAATAAAATCATTGTCTATTAATTTTCTATATTTTCTATATAAGAATGACCAGTTCCATTGTAACTTTTTATCTCTTATTATACAGAACCACGTGTGATCCACGATATTTGCACAATAATTATTGTTGGCAGAGTCGATGGCTCTTTGGTGGTAATTGATAACACTGGAAAGCACGATAGCACATATAGAGTATGGAACGTGAAATCAAATGATTATGATAAGGATTCAATAAATCATTATCAATTAATAATACTCTGTACAGGCTCATAATGGTCCGGTAATACAATTATGGTCGTCTGTGTCATCACGACATATCATATCAGTAGGTAGTGACAGATGTGTCAAAATATGGCACGTGTTCCCTGACATTTCACAACCATTGGCAGTGGCGTCCAGTGTATATTATACAATACCAATTACAAACGTGGTATCGATGGGGTAAAATTAAATATAAGGAAATGTGTTAATTATTTAAAACAATTGAAAGGAAGTTTCTTAAAAATAATTGTATATCATTCTTCTAGAAATATTGTATGCATGGTAAGCAGCACTGTCAGACTTAAAACACACCAGCTATTGATGTATGATTTAACGGAAAGAAGTAAGAAATTTTTTAAAATTGACATATTTTTTTAATACAAAAATTTAATGGATATTGATAGTCAGATTGGAGCATCATTCGTTGAAGGATCACACGAAATTGATAATGGCTATTTCCTCATTGGATTCGCTACAGATATGTGCTACGTCGTCAATGGACAATTCCATTAGAATTTGGGATAATCAGAATAATCTTTTAAAAGTCTAAGTAGTTTCAATTGTTGTACGGTATAGTATTTATAAGTAAAAATTGAGTACTTGCTATTTATGTTCTTAGATATTGGAAATAAATACAAAGGCATATACTATTACGTTCTCTTCACTTCGTGGTGATATAGTCTTTGGTGCTGCTCGTCATCTTTACAAAATTCCCTATGAAAATTGTAAGATACACATTTAACGGAATGGCATATGGTCATAGCATGTTTTAAAATTTTTAGAAATTTTAATCCGTTTCTTTGTAACACAACGATTAGATCTCTCTCCAAAATTTCGAGCGCGGATAATTATTAACGAAATTCCTGAAGATCCTGAGGAGGAGGAACTGGAAGAAAATATAGAGTATGTAATTTATGACAACGAGGTAAATCGTGCATTGGCTTTGCATCCCGTGAGCAGCACACCATTGGGATCGTTAGATGTTAGGAAGGGTGACGTGCCAAGGTTGGATTTAATGATTCAAGAACATATGTGTGACCAATTTCGACATAGAGATGAGGGTATACTTTTCAGCAAAATCACTTTTATATTGTTATTTAATAGTAAGGATAATTATGTGATGTCAATTGATTCAAATTTTACTTTTCTTATTAGATATTATATTAATAGCTCAAGGATTAATTAAAAGGAATAAATTAATATTGAATAAGGCACAAATGAATAGGGCCGTGTGGGATAAATATATTTCTGACTTGCTGGAAACTTCCCAGACTTCCAGTAAGGATGTGACGCCACACAATATTTGGGGATTCATGAAGAAACAGTCCAACGTTAAAAAGTATCACTCAAAACCTGGAATATTTCGAATGTTATACGGTAGGCTGTTTACGTTGTACAGGAGTATTGTTAACTTATTGTTTTACTCAAATAATTATATATTGTTGATAGGTTATAGCATGGAAAGATTTTCTGAATATCCAGATCGTATACCGGATAATGTGGAACATTCGGATATACCTTTATTCGGATTTTTACCGAATTCTATAGTGTATACAAACGTTCAAGAAAAAGTTGTGAAACCAACGAAATCTGTTGAGATTGTACAGAAGAAAATAAAATATGAATATCCTCCAGAATTTTTGGTACTGTTTAAAAACATGTACTCAAGAGAATACGATAATAATGTTTCTAATCTATTTCACTGCAGGCATCGCTCATGAAAGATAAAGAATCAAATGAAACTATCGTTCCATTAACACTTTCGCAGTTGGTAGAATTTGGAGAAAATCTTACAAGCATGACTGTGATATAGAAGATTATAAGATTCCATAAAAGTATTATTTTATTATATATATCATTCACTTATAGAAATTCAATCTTAATGACAATCCTTGATGCAGTTTATAAATCTAATAACTGTACATAGTATAATAACTCGTTCCACTAAAACCATATACACCCAAATAAACTTAGTACAGTAAAAAATGAAAGACGTAAATCTAGCATTACTTATATATATACTAAATTACGTAACCCTAAAATCATTCGTCTTCTTGTATACACTTTTCAACCAAATCGCGTAAATTAGGATTTTCCATGGCAGCAGCTATACGCTCTTTGTCATTAATCTGTTTATTAACTAGAATTGAAACGAGCTTAATGCCGTAGTAATAAATAATAATTAAATAAATCACATCGTACTCACTTTCCTCTTCCGTTGAATGGGCACCTTCCTTGATGTATATATCCAATTTAAATAATGCTAGTAGTTGACGTTCTAGCTTAACTCTTATACACAAACCAATAAGTGTAGCAAGAGAACAATGAGGAACCGTAGGGTTGAATTCTACTCGAATCACCGATACTCCTTTTGCAGTAGCCTCACATACATTCACACAATCCTCGTAAACCACGTCCAATTCCTCCAAAGTCTGAGGCTTCTCAGGATCTTTGATCGTCCTAAGCAAATCTGGAAAGTGACAATGAGACAAGACATAAAGAACATGCAAGTACATACAACCTCCAACTTTGAACGACATTGCATCTACAAACTAACGAATCGTTATTAAACTAATATTTATTTCTTAGAAAATCTGGCATTTACCATAAACGGATTCTTTGAGTTCAGTCTCATCTTTCAGTATCAGTGTACTCTGATTTTTAACCTTTAACAGTTCCTCTGGTGTGCTCATAACTCCGTCGGGCAATATACCATCTTTTATTTTCCCACCGATAGATAATTTCCGAAAGAACGATAGCATCTTTATCCAAATAACATTAATAAACAAGATACACCAACATATCGATACAAAATTGGTATTACGTAAGGTTAGGTCAATAACATGACCTAGCGTCACACACTATTCTAGTAACAGAAACTGACTACGATTAATGCTTTTTAAAACAAGAACATTGCGCACGATATACTTGACGGCACTCAACAAACTTAAACCCATTACTACTTAATTAAAAAATATCACAAGCAGAGTCTAACTCATGAAGACTAGAGTAAAGGAGGCCGAACGCTTATGTGCGCTTATGTCGGGAATACTAGAAACGTAGACGGTGAAAGTGTAGGCAGAGATGATTCCGAATTTGATCACAAAAATAGCTGTGAACACTTTTGTCGGGCTTGAACTACGTTGTAGACCATTTGTAGACGATAGCATGAAGTATGGTCTAATTCATAATTTTCCATGAGAACCCGTAAATAATATTCGTACGATTGAGAACTTTGATATTTTAAAAATCTTCCGCCCCTACAGAGTCTCAAGTATACATCTTGACGATATTAAAAATTCGGTAAATTCATTGGTAAGAGTGAAAACTCTGAAAATACACATAAATTCCTATATGCATATCCCTAGCCACAATCCTCAAGCCGAATCCAGACCATTTAACAATATCAAACCACACCCGCAAGTTCTTGTTTCCGGTAGCAAAGACAATACCGACAAAATTCCTAGAAACCTTCCGCAGATGTCGCCCCAATTTCGATTAAACAAGCTCCTAGCAGATGTCGCTCCTGACGCCCTACCGTCAAGGGTTGAATAAAAATACGTGGCAGAACACGAGCATGCGCGAGTCAAATCGCGCGACACTGCCGCGTCAAGTATTAGGTTGTATTAGGTGGTCGGAGGAATAAAAGAAGTTGCAAGAGAGGAGAAGGAGAAGGTTGTGTAGCAGGAAAAGGTAGAAGCGAGGGTGCAGGGGGGTGCGAAAAAGGATAAAACTAGATACCGTCTCTACGAGCGTGCGTAAGAAGCCGCAGTCATAAGTATAAGGAGAGAGAGAGGGTGAAGGACCGATAAAGAGATTGAAACAGAGAGAAGCCGAACCAAAGAAAGATGGAGACAAAGAAACGAGGATAGACTCAAAGTCGAAGGAAGGTGTGCGTGCGTGCGCGTGTTTCGCTGTGTCTCGTGAGAGGATCGGGTTTACTCGTGGCTGCGATTACGTTACTCCTCGGGCTCCACCGTGCCGCTCGGAAGGCAGTGTTGTTTGCGAGTAGCAGACAGCGGCCGGCGCCCCCCGGTGTGTCTAGGCTTTTTATGACTGTCGGTGATTGACAGTAGGTGACTATCGGGCGGGCCGAGGACCGCCCTTATCGAATAATAAAGGGCCTGGTGTACCCCGAGATATTATTCGCGAGAGAAGGAGAGAAAAGAGTTCATTGTCATCATCTACCACCACCGCAAACATTGACTGGCTCTGGACACCTACAGGGGTCTGCACCATCGCCATCCTCAAGGACATCCTCGTCAAGTCGAGAATTCTCTTCCAGATTCTCGCGGTGATCGCGTACGCGACAGGATCGGTGATTTCGTCTAGGGACACGCAACGAAAGTACGCGAAGTTTTCCGACTGTCCAGAGTCCTGGAGACAGCCGTGGGATACGGGAGAAAAAATCCGCATGCGGGACCGTGGGTGGTAGTACAAACGGAATATAATATCGCGAGTAAGTACGACCAATCGGGATTCAGGTATTACCTGTTTATTTCATTATTTCTTTTTTTCTTCGAGGTAAGAAATATTTAATCGAGAATCATCCGTAACGCGTGTACTGGTATTTGATATCGATAGCTCGCGATGACACAATAGAAATTCGCAACGGCCATTCGGTATTTTTAAAAATACATTTCGACCACGACTCTCTTTTCATCCTTTCTGCATCTCTGAATTTTCGTGGGAATTCATCGATATCACCTCCCACCAGTGCTGCCAGCCTTGCGGATACACTTCTGTGAGTAAGATGGTGTACCACTACCATAGCACTATAGTACTATCACTACTAGCAAATACCAAGCACTGCCATGCTATCAAGAGATTTTGGACTAATTATTGCTCAATAAAAACGTAATAAATTCCAGTAATAAAAATGTTTTTCTTTGCGCCTATTCCGCACAGCACGTTTAGTTCCCTCTCACCCCAAACACTATCCCCAAATATGCATTTTTCTACTGACTTTCTCGTCGTTCTATTAATCTTCCTTCCTTGTCTAGGCCAATATCTATTATTAAAAAAAGAAATGTAGTACAGTCAGTTTGACGCACAATACGCAATGCTTGCAGCCAACCACCCGTCCCTGCCCCTGGTCCTAGCACATGCGCCTTTGCCTCAGGCACAGCCGAACAGACCAGCCTTAGGCACAGCCTTCAGCCTGATATTAGTGCGCCACTAGTGCTAGCTGCCAACCTTTTCCATTCGCATATAGCCCACCTTCTCAACCTACTCAACCTACTCAACCTACTCTTCATCCTTCCGACCTAGCCAGACCTCTCTCATCGCCCTGCTAACCTCTACGTTCTTATACCGATCAATACTCACCACTACCATCACTGCCTAGGGGCTTTCCTGGCTGTCAGTCATACGCGACACCCTTACGCATACACCCTTGGACCATTTACTCTCCGCCTGTGTACGCACGCATGCTTACGCACTCGCCTTACTATTCCCGAGTACCTATCTGGACGCACTACAGCGTTTAGCATAACCTTTGGAATTAGGGCGCTTTATTGTAGCGTTCATAAAATTATTGTCAAACTTTTATAATGGTTATTTGTCCCTTGTATCTGACATTCGTGATAACAACTGTTTTCATAATTCCTTAAGGGCGATATTCATCCTGCTTATCCCAAGGTCGGATTTAGAATGAAAAATCTGCCTTGCTTTTTGCGTTAAATTGACTTTTTTTTTTAAGTCTTTTATTCAGGTACTCTGCTCGGGAAGCCAGTTACTTTTTGCTCTTCATTTTTCTTTTCTGTTTAAACGCGATTCGTTATCTCGTTGGGTACACAGATCTGTAATACCCCGACGGAGTTAACGAATTACATCTCGCGCGTGTAATAAGGTGCGTTTGATATATGTATATAGTAATACATTTAAGAAGACTAAGAAGGTTGTTGGGTGTGAGCGATGAATGAAAACAAAGGGGACGATATGTACTGTCATACAGGAAATTGATTTGGCGAAGTTGAACATTCCTAAGATTGAATCCCTGGTATAAAGGGGGCCCTTGAGAAATATGTTGAGAACCGATGGACACGGCCCTGTTCGATTTCCGATGTCACCTTTTGTTGACCAATCCCGTAGAAGATGCATTACTGGATAACCATGACTTCGAGAGAACCCATTCGTCCTGTTATAAAATTTATACCACATTGCTCCACCAATGGCTTTTACGTGTCTAGGGACTTTTATCCTATCTCCTCTGGTCCTAGTAAATTAAAAAGGACCTCCATCAGGAGTTTAAAAATAAATCTTTCGAATGGGACAACGAAATTAGGTCGAAGTGAAAAAAATTGTTTGCGAATTAAAGAATCTGGGGCAGTGTGCTTATACGATTGAGTAAATCGGATAGTTTTGTCTTTTATTCACTGTCTTCCATAACAGCGTCTTTGTCTCTTTGTTTATTTCGACGAATTTAACTGAGACATCATTACGTTTTCAGCACTGACTTTCAATTTGTAAATTGTCTTTTCGTATTTTGGATAACGGGCTCTTTTCATTAATAGTTTATAGGTTAGATTTCGGTTGTTTATTTTTTATTACAATGGACTCTTTGTCACTGAAAGGATAATTCGAATAACAGACTGGGATTTGAAAAAGAACTATTTCGCTTCTCGCAGTTGATAGGAAAAAGGCCATTTTACTTTTACTAGAAATACGCTATACCTTGTTATGGATATTGGTTACGTTACTCAGACTGCTGGATATAACGCTATCTGAGGGAAAAGAAAATTATATCAGAGCACCGAAGGCGCCAGTTTGTCGCTTTGTATTCTTGACGGAGAAAAAATTTCCTAGATCGACGTTACGTCGTTGACGTTGCTACTATTTGTTTTTTAAGTTACCCTTTTTTTTTTCATCAATCTTAAAAATTATGTCAGGGACATCTTTACAAGTTTTCAATTTTCATTATGTTAAGTCAACGTGTTAGCTTTGCTTTAATTTTTTTTTTAATAATCCTTGCTCCGCCACTTTTTCCCGATTTTCTTGAACTCGGCATCGACGAGTCTCGACTCTGTCGATAAAACAGACATTCTCTTTGTGCCTTACGTTGTCAGAAGGAATTACCGACCGGTTTGCACTTTGACACAGATTCGCCAAGTTCCATCGACGTAACAAGCCGAACGACGCTGCCAACCAAAATGACTATCTACGGTTTTATTTATAAACGACTGACAGGACAGTGAAAGATTAGGTGATTACGGGCAACGTAACGGGTGATCGGAATGCAAGTACCAAAGAAGAAGTAGGCGGAATTACGTCAACACAAGTAAATAGGAGGAGCTATCGATTACTAAAATGCATTCCATCGCTGCGTAGGAAATCTAATTGTTAATTGTCGGATCTGCGTTAATATTGCTCCCACCCTAACCAAGGCAGCACACGGTAACAGGGTTACCAACATTAACAAAGTTACTAGAGTTACCAAAGTCAACAAAAGTACAGGCAAAGTGCTCCAGGCGAAAAGTATCCCCAGCCTTACTTGCCTGTCATATATCAGCTCGAGTACACATCCCACCCCACCCTTAATAATATCCAGGTTGCCATTTTAAAATCCAAATTCAGCAGTTTCCAAAAACATACTACCTAATAATACAGTCCCCCGGGGAGCAGATTGTCCTCGGTCCAGAATGGGATGTTCCATTTTTCTCCTTTTTTTTTTTTTTATTTATCCCACATCCTTTTTTTTCATCCTCTCCTCCTGCAAGCGGCTTTTCTGTATCCCTTGTAGACGCGAGCCGTCGGCCGCTCTCGATTTAGATTTCCAATTGCACGGAAGAAAATACCGAGCGACACCTCGCTACCTAGTGGTTTATAGGTTGTAGGTTGTAGATTGCACCTCCGGCCTTGCGATCGTTCTATTGAATTCGATCGGTAATCGTGAACTGCAGCAGATGCTGTTTTTCTACTTTCGACGGAGATTTACGCAAGATCATTTTAAGACTAGATCAGTACAGGTCAGGTTGGGTTAACGTATAAGGATAATCGGGATGCCATTCGTCTCGCGTGAAATCCGTTTTAT